ATCTGTCTGGTGGTCAGAATACAAATTAACAAGTGGGCGTGTTTCCATTCATCATCCTCCTTCATGTCCTTCTAGCCTGTACTCGTTTCCCCTCGGGTTTGTGCACAGACAGGAGGTGATTGACTTCACGTGGCCGACGTGTGCGGGAGGAGGGGGAGATGGAAGGGGACAGGCTATGAGTACAAGACGGGTCCGTGGCAATCAATCAGTTGGTAATGAGAATTAGACCAGTAATTCCATTTAATAATCATTTGGGACCAAAAACAGTTAATCGAAGGGAAAGATACAGAAGAAATCTGCTAATAATGAAAAGTTTGGAAGTCTTTCGAAAAAAATAATTTTCGGTGATAAAGTCAGTGAGTTACGGTGTGATAGTTTTAGTGCCCCTGGATTAGAATCATGGCCAACGAAATAGTGTATGACTCTTAGTGCATAAACGGATGTGCGGTAGTGTAACAAACTCATCTTGATTTTGAGAATGTTTCCACTGGGCTGGGATACTGTGTGATGGAAGGTGACGATATTCCTGAAATGTACCGCGCAGATAGTCCGCTGTTTTGCCATTGAGTGGCCTCCATATATCGATCGCTCAAAGAAAATCATTTACATTCGCTGAAGCTGGGCGACCGCGCTAATCACGTGACATGATGTGGTGGTTTAACGGTGCGCTTGTCCGAACAGCGTTCACATAGCACGTGTGAGGTGTGGATGCGTGACTGGACTCCCACATGGATGTAAATTTGACAATAATTGGTCATGTTCTCTAGATGGTAGAAGAATATTTGTTACGTGTCATTTTCATGGAAGAAAAGGGTTTTACTTCAATTAAGGTAAACAGAGTCAGGCAGATCAAGTTGAGATATTCCATGAAAGTGCTCTTTGGACTCCTAGGTTAGGAGATTCATCGTAAAGTTCGTAAACTGGACTGAATGAGAGCTGTTACGTTTGAACTGGGTTTATCATCGCTATCAGAATAGTCTGTCAGGATGTATAGATAATCGTAGTAGACGTGGGTAGATTCTTCCGGTCTACACCAACGGCTTTCATTAAAAACTATCAGTATTTCACCTGTTTGTAGTCAAGCGTGTAAAACAAGAAGAAAGTTTAACATGAGGGCATCTAGGACGAATTGTTGTTCGGTTCTCTTGGGATTGGGTATGAAATAAATTCCAGACTTCAGTTGTCAATATGACAGGAAAGTACAAAAAATGGAAAACAAATCCACAATGGAACTTCACATCGGAATATTTAGCGCAGATGTGTAAAACTCACACGTTTTCCCCCAAGCATAAAATACCCTTGGGGACTGATCATTTTTCTACCCCTAAGAAGAGGCAGCTGCAAGGTGTAAACGATGTGGCTGACTTTATCTGACTGTCTCGTTTCGCCATCCGCGCACTCGAGGGTGGGGGGGGGGGGGGGGATGAGTAACGTGTGCACTATTGGTTAAGAAGCTGATGGTAGAGTAGTATTGACAATCGTTCAATTGCAGGTCCGTTATCATACATCGTTTACACTTGTTTTGTATGAGTTCACTCTCTGTTTGGTACACATAAATGATTAATCGGCTGCGAGACTATTTTTTTACCGCCATTAGAAATAGGAATAGACAATCGTGTGTCGATGACCACCGCCTTAAAGGTAACTGAAGCTAAGCGGGTTTGGGGGTCTCTTTCAAAATTAAGGCTTTAACAAAACAGGAGATTCAATCACAATTGTATAGCAAACTGAAACCAGCGGTATAAATGTAATTGGCACGTGCTGACCACCCGACAGTATCCCCTTGTTCGTTGCCTCTCGCACACACACACACACACACACACACACACACATAGGTACTTTTGCACTTTACATCCATCTTGACGAACGCGTCCGGGAGAAGAAAAGCCATCAGTAAACGATCATAGAATATTCTGATGAATACAACATTGGTTCCGGAACAGCGGCGTTTTTTCAGCCCCGTCCATTACAGCTTTTTCCCTAAACTTTTCTCTCCAGAACAGAACTGCCACCGGTTCGTTTGTGTTCCAGAAAATTCGCTTTTGATGATCAACATCACGAAATAAAAATTCTATTGTATCCAACAGAGATGAATAAAACTTTATTCATCAAGCTTTTAAATCATCACACGGGGAGTGAAATTACGTGTTGCACAGTAAGGGAGACAGAGAAAGAAAGAGAAAGACATTTGCATCCCAAATTGGATTGTAAATTAAAATAAACCCCATTGTGTAGTTTGGTCAACGTGAACATGCAGATCGTGTTTTTTTACGTGTAAGAAAGATGCAAAACGCAAGCTGTTTCAATGAAATTGGTCGATCAATAAAATGAAACCTTCTGGTGAGAGGATAAACGTAAATACCTAACCCATAGGCTGACTGAAACTTCATTTGAACTCCATGGCACATTTACTCAACCCAACCGGGAGCTTTGTGATTGCTGCTGACGGATAGGAATGAGCTTTGATACCGAATAATTTATCTATCTGATTTTGCCTTGTAACATTCATCAATCTATTTACACAGACTATGGTTACTAACACGAAGTGCCTTGAGAAAATTCCATTGCATTTCAAGTGTATTACAAGAAAAAAAACAATAACAATCCCTTATCAGCT